GAAGAAGATCCATAACGGATCATTGTTCACTTGATATTTGTATACTTGATTAGGACTTCTTATTAGGAATAGACCCGAAAGGGTAAGCTTAAATACAGAGCAAAATTTCCACTCAAGCACACAGAGCGACGTCCGGCTTCAAGGTAAGCGTCAGGTCAAGCTTGTTTGAGTGTGTTATGCCTGTCGGTGAACTCGAAGCTCTGTAGCGAGGGTTCATCCGGCAAGGCCAAGAGACTTTGTGTATTGGCCGATTATTATCGGGAGGTTTTACGTGACGGCTTATTGTTGCCTATTTGCACGACTGGGAGTGCTTGAATTGCCTCCCTTTTATTCTTCCAACCGAGTGTTGAACACTCGGTGATCTCGTAAAAGGCTTACCCGTGCCTGGTACCCTTCCGCTGTTGGGACCACGAGGATTCAAAACACCTGCTAGCTTTGCTCGTGCTAGTAGCGTGTTCTTATTTTTACTGGTTGGCCTATATAAGTAGTTTACAAGGTCCAGTTTGTCCCGGTGCAAGGGCAGAACTGGGGTCTTCAGGTCCGCCCGAACGATCGTTTACTATCCTAGTAGACGTATTGTTATGGGAACGTCCTAACTACATTTGTAGCTAGAGTCACGTAGGAATCCCAACACCACAAGAGACCCACTTTCGCTCGTGTTCGGATTGGCCACCAGCAATTCCCCGGAGCTCGTACTCGAGGACGTACTGCCCTTCCCGGTTCCTTCGTCGTCTTCGTCGTGTCTCCACCAGTCCGTCACTCGCGTGGAGCTTCCCCCTCGGATTTGCCACTGCTCCTCGTTTCTGTTTTCACTTCGCGGAACTGCCGTCGCTCCACTAACTCCCGTCGCTGCGCGTATAGGCGCTCCTATCTTCGCGCCATGCTCGCCTGCACTTTCGTCTTGATCTTCATATTCCAGTTGTGCGTTTAAGTCCTTGGTCAATTGCTTCCGTAGTGAAGCAGGATATGAATAGCTAGCCAGAAATGACACATGGGCAATCAACGTCTCTGGCGTACCATTCTTATCTTCTCTTTGCAGTACAAAGTTCTCATAACCCGCGTCCTCCACAATCTTCATGGGACCCATCCACGAGTGTACAAATTTAGTGGCTTTGGGGGCTCGTGGCGGGTTGTAGACCCATACTCGGTCGCCAACGCCGAACACTCGCTTTTGCCGAACATTTCGGTCATAATAGCGCGCCTGCCGGGTTTGCTCCTTTCGCCGGGCGTTCTCAGCGCGCTCGTGGCTCCGTTCCATCGCCTGTATCAACTGTTCGTGATATAATAGCAGTGCTCCTGCTTCCGTTACCGCTGTTCGTCTTAGTAGCTCATTAGGCGTTCACAGCCGTCTTCCCATCATTACTCGTTCGGTGTCAGTGCTACAGTTGAATGACGCGCTGAATTGTACGCGTACACGGCGAGCTGAACCCATAAGTTCCAGTCATTCTGCTCGTCGTTCGCCATAAATGTGGCAACACAGTCCTTCCATGAGCGGTGAAGACGTTCAACCAGGCCGATTAGTTGCGGATGATAAGGCACGGGATTGACCTGTCGTGCTTGTAACATCATCACCAACTGTTCGATGACTATCCAGTCATCTCCGGGGCACCGTCGGCAACAATTCGCGGAACGCTCCAAATTTGAGCACAATCTCCTCCATCAGAAATGACACTACACTTTCGGCCGTGTGCTGCGTCACGCTCTTCGCTGTCGCGTATCTCGTTACGTATTCGAGTGCCGCCACAACATAACGCTTCTCTCCGTCGGCAACTAGAAACGGTCCCACTACGTCCAATGCCCAGCGATCCCCGACATCTCCACCACGGATGCTCCTGAGCGGCGGAATCACCTCCCGGGGCCGCGCTTTCCGGCTACCACATTCTTGACAGCCTCTCACCCATTTGTTCACTTCTCGAAGTAACTGTGGCCACCAGTACAATTGCGACACACGCCCGTATGTATGCGGTCCTCTCCGATGTTCTGCCCAGACAGACCCGTGCATCTCCTTGAAAACTACCGCCCACAGCGACGGTGGCAGTATCACGCGCCTCCCATACACAGTATCGATTGTCACCAGTCCGTGCATATGTTTCACCTTCATACCGTGATACTCGCCGTCTTGTATCAGCTTCTGTACCAGCTTGCTGCACTGCTGAGCCGTCATTATCTCGTCGTCAGTCACCTGCAGTGTTGGCTCCATCGGTGCCGCCTCTTCGCCCTCGTCCAGTCTACCTGCCACTACTGTCGGTGCCGTACCGTTCGTCTGTCGTTCTGTGGGTTTTCGACTCTCGCCGGCGTCTGTTTGCCTCCTTCGCAACGCCGTACCTTCCGTACTTGTCGTAGCTACCGCACTTGTCATACTCGTAGCGTTAGTTATTGGCGTCGTGACTTCTGTTGTCACCGTACTACCGTTCTCTGCCACCATACTGTCATTCGTCGTTGCTGTATCGCCACTCATCGCCAACACAACTGGTTCTGCTGTCACATTCTCGACGTTCTCGTCCCGTGCCGTCTTCTGTACTACCGCCGCTGCCGCCTCGATCCGTCGCCTAGCTGCTCTCGTCAATGGTCGGTCCGTCGGCCAATCCACACGTTTGTTTTCAGTGGTATCCTGGTATACCGTGGTTGGGTTAATCCGTGCGTCGAACGTCGCTGCCACCGTCGGCTTACTCGTCCTGTTTTCCGTACTGTCTTCGACTGCCGCTCAACTCGTGCGAAGCGTGTGTTGCCGTCTCGGCACTCTCGATTTTCGCGTCTTCGTCTGTCGCGTCCGTCCCACGTATCGTTCGCTTCGCTGGTCGTCGCCCTGTTACCACCAGTACTGCTGCTGGCGCTCGTGACAGAGCGTCGGCCACTACGTTTGTCGTGCTTGGCCTGTATACAATATCAAACTCGTACTCCTGCAAGGTAAGTGACCACCTGTGCAGCCTCCCAGCGAGATTCGCCGTCGTCATCAGCCATTTTAACGCCGAGTGATCGGTAACAATATAAAACATCCTGCCGTACAGATACGGCCTGAACAGCTTCACCGACCACACTACTGCGAAGTATTTCAGTTCCGTGATCGAGTAGTTTGATTCAGCATCACTATTCACTTTACTGGCGTAGGCTATGCGCCAAGCCCCACCTTGCTAGCGTCCGAAAGGGAAGTGCACAGTTCGGGTAGATGAGTAACGGCTTTGTCGTTAGTGCCGCCTTGATCCTTTCGAATGCGAGCTGTTGTTCCTCCGTCCATTCCCAGTCACGATCCTTCTTCAGCAGTCGTGCCATCGGGGCTGCAATTGAACCAAATGCCTCGATGAACTTCCGATAGTAGCCTGCAAGATGCAAAAACCGTTTGACCCCAACAGCGTCAGTTGGTCGCGGGAACTCCGTTACTGCCGTTATAAGTCGTTGCACAGGTCGCACGCCTTTGCTGCTCAGTTCGTGGCAGAGGTATTCGATGGATTCAGTGGCGAACATGCATTTCTTTAGCTTTAGTGTGAGTCCCGCGGTCGAGAGTCGATCCAACACCACGGCAAATTCAACCACATGCTGCTCCACGTTACCGCGCGTAAACACTACAATGTCATCCAAGTACACTAAGCATGAGAGCCACGTTAATCCGCGAAGCACGCCGTTCATCATGCGTTGGAATGTAGACGGGGCGTTCATCAAGCCAAAGGGCATTCTAGTGTACCGATATAGCCCTCGTTTGGTGGTGAACGCTGTTTTGTCCTTGTCCTCCGGAGCCATGCCAATCTGCCAGTACCCCGACCTCAGGTCCAGCGTCGTAAACAGTCTTGCGCCACCCAACGTCTCCAGAGTCTCGTCGATACGTGGCAGCGAGTAGCCATCTCTCTTGTTTAGTGCGCGATAGTCAATACAAAAGCGCACTTCACCATCCTTCTTCTTGACTAATACAACCGGGAATCCCCACGCGCCGTTGCCTTCTTCAATTACACCAGCTCCTAGAAACTTATTCACGTTGTTGTCGTCAATAGAGTCCTCCGATTGAGCCTGCCGGCGTCGCTTTAGCATGATCGGGGCCGCCTGACCCGTATCTATGTGATGCTGAACGTCTAGTGTGGTCACTGGCGGACAGTCGCCGTGATCCACCGATACTTTGCGATAGGCTCGTAGCAGCCGGATAATCAGATTCCGTGCGCCAGTCTCCTTACTGCCGATGCGCACCTCATCCTCGTTGTCGAGCGGCGTCTCATCATCACCCAACTCTTTTAGCCATGCATCCAACTTCTTGTTGTTCAGTTCGCCGTTCATTGTAAGTACTTGCATGTTCTCCTCCAGCGGGATCCACGTACCAAGTTCGGCTTTGCTCGGCAGCTTCACTTTACCTCCGTGCACATTGATCGCGGGAATTGTGGCTTTCCCGTTCCTACTGCGGGTCACTGTCGTTGCCAGCATCACGGTACTGTAACTAGTTGTCGGCACAAAGATGCCTTCCTTATCGTCGGGTGCCGTCACCGACACTTCTATTGGCGTCACTGTCTGCCGCGTCAGTGGCGTACGTCGTACCAGTCGTACAGCTGCGACCTTGGCACTACCGCCGCCTTCGTCTGTCCTGAACGGTATCACTACTCGTTCCTTTCTATCCTCGTAACGCATCTCATTGCGCTCAAAGTCCATGACGGCCTTGTACTGCTGCATGAAGTCAACGCCAACTAGAAACTCGTCATTGCATCAGTCGATAATACACGCGGACACTGTCACATCTTGTCCGAACATATTTGTCATGTTGAACGTCCATACGCCCAGGACGCCCCGCAAAATTCTGCCGATACCTTCCACAACATCCACTGGTGACGCTTGTTTCGACCGTTTCCCTCGTAACATCCAGTCCGTTCCGGCCACCGAATAACGCGCGCCCGAGTCCAGCTAGACGGGTAGCCGTTCGCCTTCCACGTTCATGGTTGCCGTTGGCAGACCTTCCTCTGCCGATACACCAAGATCGTCACTAGCACCCGTCGCATCCGTATCAGTTACACTACGTTGACGCTGGACTAGCCGTAACTTGGTACGTTCACCTGTTCCAAGCCGGCCGCCCTGATGTTCGTGTAGTTGCTGTCGCCGTGCCAATTCAGCACGAACGTCGCGGCCTTGTTGCTCCCGTCGCGATCGTCTTTCTGCATCTAGTACGGCCAATGCTTCGTCGATGTCATCACTCGTCGTTGCCGCCACAATAGTCGTCGCTTCACAGCCGGGACCCGTTCCTGCTTCGTCCGTCACCGTCTTGCCTTCGCCATGTTTCGCACTTTGGCGCCATCCGTTGTTGTGGTACTAGTCCCAACGATTTCCTCGTCGTCCGAACCGTACTCATGCATCCTCACCGCCGTATCCGCTTGCTCTCCGCCATTGCTAGCTTCAACGCCGAGCATTCTCGCCGCCCGTGTGTCGCCGTCTCCAGTTAGTCGTACTCCGCCAACAACTCTGAGGCTTCCGCCTTCCCCAGTCGACTTTACTCCATTACCTTTCTGTCAATCTGCTCGTACGTAGCGCAGTGCAGCCATCGCTGGTCGTACCGTCATCACGTAGCGACGTGCTCGTTCCTCGTCTCTCCCCGCCAATTCTCCATCCAGACAGGCATCTGCTGCTGCTGCTTCTCCCCTGGTAGTGGGGAACTGCTCGCTACCCACCGTCGTTGGCCAGCTGCTTCTCGTCGTTACCGTCTCTATACCACTTGGCGCCACGTTCTGGGGAATAGGCTCATCTTCCGGACGCAGTGACCCCCTCGCTACGCCCGTCCGTCGTTTCCCGTAGCTGAAGTTGTTTGCACCGTGCGGCTAGCCAGGTACGCGTCGTTACGTGCTTTGGCCTCGGGGTCTGGGCACTCCTTCGCAAAATGGCCAGACTTGCCGCACGCATAGCACCTATGTCCGTTGTCGACCACCTGGTGTCCTTGCTTCTACCGTACGCGTCTGGGGCTCTTCCTTTGCTGGATAAGTCGGCGCCTTGATTTTCTTATCGCCGCCTTCCATTTATTCGTCTTCGGCTGGGGTAGTTCTCCGTCCGAGTCCGACTCTTCACTTGAATCAGCCATCGACTGCACTATCCTCACCTTTCCTCGCTTTTCGCTGCTTCCGCGCTTATCGCCGTGGTACGAGCCGCTCTGCCTCGTTTTCTGGTTCTTCTTAGTAGGCTTCCAGAGTCGTCCGTTCCAGGAACGACCGCCAGGGACGTCCCATAACCCGGTAAAGTTGTTATAAACGCCTCGTAGGTTCGTGAAGTACGCCACTTCGCTGTTTTCTGCTCCTGGTTGCGTCGCCATCACATCAACAGCCGATCCTACTCCCGGCATGATCGCTACCCTTCCCGTCGTGCCGTCCATGGGTACAGCGTACGCGTTTGGTGCTGTCGCCGATGACTGACCGATATTCACCATACCGCGGGTTACGTTGTCGATCGGGTCGTCTATTGCCGTGGCCTTATCCACCGCCTGTTCCAGTGTTGTCGGTACCGGTTCTTGTTTTACTAGCATCCGGGTCGTCTTATCCAGATTCCGGTAGAATTGGCCGAGCAGTGTCTGTTCGCTAACGTGATTTGGGCCCGTGACGTCTCGTAATCCAGCCGCAACGTCGGCAAATGTCTCGCCGGAATACATCATCCTTTGATACACTCTCCATTCCGCCATCACTGGGTCCGGTCGCTCACCGTATCTCCGCATCAGTGCTTCCTTCAGACGTGTCCACGTCTTCTCGCTCTCTGGCAGTTCTTGATCCATCTGTACCCACCAACTCGCCGCATTATCCTGTAACTTGTTGCCTACGATGAAGTACAGCTCTTCGTCCGTCCAATCTCCTCGTCCGGAGATACGAGCACCTTGCACGGCTAGGTCAACTTTGGCGATCCACGTTGAGACCGACACCGTGGGCGAGGGCTTGTACGCCGCAAGTTTCAAGTCCTTCGCGTTCTTGCGTCGTTGTTCGTGTCGTACTCTTCGTGACCGGTTAGCTGTGCTTGCTCGTCGGCCGCGTCGTCTCCTGCGTCGTCTTTCGCCGCCACGACCCCGAGAACTGTCGCTACTGCTGTCGTCGCCGTTGCTGCCACTATAACTGCTGTCGCTGCCACCATCGTCACTACTGTCTGGTGAAGGTGGTCGTCGCACTGCTCCTGCTCCTGATCCTCGTCCGTCGTTGTCTGCAACCCGAGCTCCATGCGCTGCCATTGGTACTGCTGCCGGTGCGGGTTGCGCTTGTGGCTGCACTACAGGCGCTGGGGCCATTCGTTGTTCCGCCAAGCTCGCCGCTTCTGGTTGTTGTGGCCTCGGTGCCACAGCAACTTGTGAGGTTGCCACCGGTTGTACTAACGGTGTAGTCTTCGTGGTCTCCATCGCTCCCACGCGCGCTTCCAGTCTCGTCATTGTAGTCATCATGTGGTGGATAACTGTCAGCATGCCGATGCGTTTGCTGTCGCTCCATCTTCCTCGGTGCTCGTCGTGTTCGCCGCGAGTCCGCCACCCGTTGCTGCTGTCAAGTTAGCTTCGTCAGACCTTCCAGCTCCCTCTGATGTCGAGGCTGCAGATCTCGTCGGTACTGCCGTTTCTCTTCCACTGCCCGCGTACACGTCTGTCGCTGGGTCCGAACCAAGTTGCCGCCCTGGTGCTACTGGCTGCTGTGCAGTCGCCATCGTTGGCGGCTGTGCCGGTTGTCGTGCTGATGTCTCCTCGTTCATTACAGGATCCCGGGAGATCGTCGTTCCCATCGTCGTCGTGTCTGACGGTGCTTGTCCCGACGGCTGCATCGAACGCGTCATCACTCCCGTAGTTATTGTCGGTACCATGATCGTTTTCGTCCTTGCCATACGTTGGGTCGTAGCCGTACTCCCAATATAACCCGTATACGTGTAACTTTATAGTCGGTCCTCGTTCAATACAATGCCCCTGTATGACCACCATGTAACGTGTCTTTGACTCCCCTGCACGCCGGGGTTGGTCGCCCAGTGCTGATGGCGCCCAAGATCCAAATGGCCGACGATGAACAACTCTGTTCACCGCGCCGGCGTGTGATCCACTGATCGCACACCTACTTTATTACTGTTCGTTTACAGCCCAAATACAGATAGCGTCCTCTACGAAATGTACTCAAACCCGCCGCAGTTCAGTAAGTTTCCAGCGTCGCCCACTTAGTCACTTGGGCTCGGCACGCACTTCAGACGCCGCCCTACTACGCAACCGCCAGCAGACTTGGGAGCGTTCCCCCTGTCTGTACTCCTCGCCGACTGTCCTTGGTTCTCGTCCACCGAGGCGCTACCCGTTTGTCCGTTCGTCCGTTCGTCCGTCCGTCCGTTTGTGCACCACCACTCGCTCCACTGAGCTCGAGCAGCACACCGTCCAATCTCAAAGATGCCGACACCACTAATCTCGGAGTGATGCCTACACCGCTAATTCTAAACTACGACCGACACCGCCAATTCCGAAGTGCGTCCGCCACCGCTAATCTAAAAGTACCGCCTTCTCTCATCCGGGTGCTCGCCGTATCTTTCGAATTCGGATACGGGAGGCACGTACCTACCGTCCTTCAATACCGTCAGCAGCCAGATGCCACACTTCGTCCGTACCGTCCGTTCCTGGCAGCTTCTGTGCTCTGCCTGACCACCTTTCGTCTTCCGCCCATCCCATCGTGCTCGTCAAACGAGTTACCGTACTCGTCACGTCCGCTCCATCGTACACGTCCGCATCATCGTTCACGTCGGCATCATTATTCGCCGTGAACGAGCCGTCATACTCGGTCGCGTCGCCGAACTCGCCCGTATCACAATACGTAACCGCCTTACCGTCCACATCCGTATCATACTTGTTACAACTCAAATATGTCTTGAGTGTTTTACCCTAAGCGTGCCTGTCGTATTCAGTCCGCGATTATTCCGAGTAGCACTTAGTAAAGCTTCTTCCTTGATACGCTACAGTATCCTCCGTCACTTGACGATGTAAACGTGACCACAATCGGCAACTTGTTACGTTGCTGACACGCCACATCCAGCGATATCAATGAATGACCGTACAGGCATCCCCATGGAAAGCATATCGTACGTGGTCGTCGCAAAGGTAGCCTCACCCGGAACACAACTCTCTTTGAAAAAGAGCAATAGCTTCTCGTTTCTTTGGACCATATTTCCCATCCCAGTAGCATCTTTCAGCGCAGCAGCGATCGACGCCGCTGGTATCTTCTTAGAGGCTCAGTCGCCACCAGACTCCCATACGTCTCGAGCGCTCGACGTATCTCTTGAGATAAATCAAGCTGCTTGTTGTGGAGAGAAGTACATGCAGTGATCCATGCTGAGGTTGTAATACTCTTCTAATCCCTTCCTTTGGCACTTGGCCGTAACCAGTAGAAGCCCATAAAGCTCATTACGTCGATCAACAGCCGCATTAACACAGGCGGTTTGTATCAACTCCTCGTTACAGTAGCCTCGCTCATACTACATGTAGTAGTACATGTACTTGATCGCAAAAGTGAATCCATTTCGACACATAGGTTCTTCCGATCGAAATATAACGAATACACAAGCTAAACCTGTTGAGCAACTATGTGTTGTTCCCTTTCGACCGCTTTTATGAGCCAGTATGTCAACATTATTGCCAGCTATCGCGAGTGTACTATTACTACTTCGCTATTCAGCTTCTTCGATTCGGATAACATACCCTACTACGTCCCAGCTAACCACGCTGTATTTCCATTCACTTTAAGGAGAGACTAACGATATCTCGACGGTCCTAGCAACATGCATCGTAGCCTTCTTGAGGGTTTTGTAGTTGTTTCAGCTAAACTAGTTACTTAAATACTTCATTTTGCGTGAAAGTGCTACCAAATTCATTCATAACCACGTTGGAAGAGGGTATTTGGGTGCGGTGGTGTTTTCGTGAAGTCGCACTGGTTCATGTTGCCTTAGGTCCGCCCCTGGCTTGTCTACACTTCTCTTCACATGCGGCGGTGTACACGGTGTGGCTTCAGGGTTGGAAACCTCCAATCTTCGGTGGTTCTTGACAGTCGAATGCATTGCGCCGCTTGCACAATAGAGCTGCGTTTGTAATTTATTTGGGTCACAGACTTTTCTGAAGCTCCACGGGCATTTTGCTAGAGCATTTAAATCCAACACCCAAAACCCACGCATATGATAAGTACTTCAAGGTAATTTTCAAAAGCAACCATAAAGCAGACGCGAACAGGACAGCCATCCCTAGCTGCCAGTAGCGCGGAGTACGAGAGGCTCAAGGCGGAGCGTCACTATGTCGTGTCGCTTCCACACGTAAAGCGGCGGGGTCAACGTGGCTCAGAATTGAAGTCGCTGTTTCCATGCAAAATATCCGCCTTAGCTCCGAGGTGTTGATGACGCCGGAGGAGGCTGTGATTAAGGCTGCGGCGACGAATCAACTACTATGGATCGACAGTCTGTTAGATACGTTTGATGGAGACTTGGCCGACGCAATTTCTAGTGCTCCGGTCAATGGACACGTGGACATGATGCACCGTTTAGTACGCGAAATTGGCAAACTTGCTGCGAACGACGGAGACGACAGCGATGGATTCTCTGATGACAGCGACGAATCCTCCGATAGCTACGAATCTTCTTATGACAGCGACGACTCTAGTGAGACTGACAATGGTAGCGACAGCTCCTCCGAGGACAGTGACGACGATAGTGTATTTGATATATTTTCTGACGACCTCCTCGACATGATGCAGCAGCTTTTACAGCCGATTGGAGAAGACAGTGATAGTGACGATGGCGATTTTTCTAGTGAGAGCGACGACTTCTCCGATGATAGCGACGAGGACAGTGAGGACGATGATGTGGAGGAGCGCATAGCTGACAAAACCCGTCGAGCGCTACAGAATGCAGTGCAAACAGCAGCGCAGTATGGGCAACTTACTGTGGTGTCTTTTTTCCTCCCGCAGATTGTCGGTGCAAGCGACGATGGAGAAGCACGTCGTGATATGCACGACACAACGTGGAAAGTCCTCAATGAAGCAGCCGCTTATGGACATTTCGACGTGATTCAATTTGCGGTGAGCTATGCAACAGAGTGCGGATACATCGAGTTGTATGCTGCCAGTGGTGAGGCTGACGCTTCGACACGAGCAATTGCAGGTCGCAACGATGCTGTGGCGACATATATCCTTGGAATGCGCAACATTCAATGGGACTTGGACCGTGCGTCTGACAAGGCCATTCAGGGCCAACGATCAGGATTAGGCAATTGAAGAATCCACGCTCAGCGAGAGTGATTTACTTTCAATGCAGATCGACAGGACCGCAATCTTTAGAAGTTGTTTCGTGAAAGTATTTTTTACTTAATATATTAATAGTACATGGATAGGCTAACAAATCATTGGGGGTATGTAGGACTTCTAAATATAGTTTCTATAGTCAGTGAAGGAGCTATTAAGTAACGACAACAGTAGCCTGAATTCTGAGCGACATTGCAGCACACTTTCATCACGAATGGTTGTGCTGCGAAATAATGTAACCTGCTCTACACAAACGAGTTACCAGAATCCTTCTTACTGGAGGCATTACAGTAGCTCGGTAAATCTTCTGGCGCCGCCTTCTTAGCTTGCACAACTGCCAGCACATCAGTCTTCGTGGCCACTGATATGGCTTTACCTAGCACGTCTAGAGATCAATTGTCCGACGCCCAAATCTCCTCGAGAACTCCACACAGATCAATCCGAGTCGCGGTTATCACAACTTTTTCCTTGACAGATAGCTTAAAACAGTATTCGACAAAAACCAGTTTCAGCAATGTGGCCCTTTCTACACTGACTGCTTTTTGGAGGACTTGAAATGCGATCTCAGGCGAAATACTTGCTTCGGGGTATAGAGTTTGCACAACATCATACAACCGGTTTTTTTTTTAAAGCTGCGATAAAAACGTCGCGAAAAAAATGTGCCCGTAAAGTAGAAAGTAATAATTTTTAGGTGACGACACGCTTTCCATCACTCATGTGATTGCTACGACCGCACCCAAATGCGTCTTGAGCGCTATCACTACCGACTCTTGTTCAGAAACTCTGAAACATCAAACTTGCTAGCATCTATCCGTTTAATTTCGTGAGTGATGACTTGCCAGTTAATAACTGGAAAGTGTATAACTTACTGAAATTCAGTAATCTATATACCGCGTGCTCGCAACCACTCCTACTCTAGCATTCTACAGCCCCTATAATTCAGTATACAGCTAGCACTAAGCGGTGGTTTGTTTATCTGCCATAATGTGGTGCACACTTCGATCTCATGCACGTCCAAACGTGGGTTACAAGCTCAATTATTTACTGTCCTTTACACCTCCGTTTGCTGTACAGCATTGAGATAGCAGGACGACCTGCTCCGGGAGTTGCCACCGCAACGACATTGCCATATGCCTCTCTTTCTGTCTTTCTGTCCACAGTTGGGTCCGAACTAATACGCTTACCCTTAGTAAGGGGCGACATACCAGATCAACATTTATTAGTAACAGAGTGAGCCAATCGCCATCACGACAAATATATGTATGCAGTGGTGGTGTAGGCTACACTATAGCCCCTACTCGCTTCCGGGGCGGGTGAATTGTTGGGAGGAAGTGGCTAGGTAGATTGAGTCAACAGTTTGGAGAAGAGCTGAAAGCGTTGGAACCATGGCTAAATTTACACCAGTAAAGTAGCTTTACTAAAGTTGCTAAATGCAACAGTGATGGCCAAAAATACATTGCAGGTATTGGTACTGTTTGCAATATTGAGAAATACTTTATTGCAAGCGCTCTGGGGTATTGCAATACATATTGCGGCAACGCTGGAAACTGCAGTACATATTTTCCAGCGATTTCGGCGATCCCTTTTAAAGTCGGTTCCCAAAGGTCGCAGTGCTCGCGCGTCAAGTCTTTTGGCGCGAACTCAGAGGCCCATCGAGTCTCCAGCAGCGTTCGCGCCTTCAAAATGGGCGTGAATTTGACCGCTCCACCACCAGCCAGCTCTCATTCTGCTTTTGCAGCCTTCCCTGCAGACGCCATGGCCCTCCAGTCCAGCCCGCTTTCTATCGACCGCATTCCCGCAGACGTCCGCTTCTACTACGACATATCGGTCGTCGACGGCGAGGTCTCGTACCAGTGCCGAAAGTGCCCCGCCAGACCAAAACAGGCTTGGAAGTCCGGATACTCGAACTTGCGGAAGCATTTAACGAGCTGCGTTGGCGCAGATTACGTGGCGAGATACGAGCAGAGTGTTCGTGATCAACCTAATCCTCTTGGATTTGACCGAGAGCAGTTTCTGTCGGCGAAAGAGCTGAGTGTGTTTCGCTGGCTGGAGTGGGTTATAATGCGCGACATGCCCCTGTCCGAAGTGGATAACCCGTTGACGAGAGGCATCTCTAAGCTGGATCATGTGTGCAGTAACAGCCTCATGCTCTACATCACTCGACTGGTTGCTCTAGTTGACGAAAACATTCGTGAAAAACTCCCTGAACACTACGGCATCATGTTTGACGGGTGGTCAGACGGATCGAATCACTACATCGGCATCATTGCCACTTTCATGAACAACGGCTCGTACCAAGAAGTTCTTCTGGTCTGCTCCCCGCCTCTCAACGAAAAGCACTACACGGCCGCTGAGCACTACGCTCTTCTGGAGTACGTGCTATCACTCTACGGAAAGTCGATTTCGTCACCGTCGGTTTTGATAGGGGATAATTGTCCAACGAACAAGGCACTAGCAGACTTGGTGGGGGTTCCTTTAATTGGATGTGGCTGCCACAAACTCAACCTCGCCGTGAAATCATTCCTTGAGCGACGCCCTGGCGTTCAAGCCACTATATCGAAGGTTGACAGGAATTTTGTCTGAGCTCCGAAATCTGGAGGCAGCTGGAGCGCTTCGTGAACTTACTCCTCTCCACCCGATCAAACGGAACGTGACGCGGCGGTCCTCAACGCTGAAGCGGTTCCTTAAAATCAAAAAGGAAGCCAAGCAGCTGGATGACGTCAACAGCCTCCGACGTACAGCCATAGAGGGAATTCGTAGTATCATGCCGTCACTTGCGAACTTTCGAAGCGTGATGACGGACCTTCAAAAGCGGGGGCAGCACATTGGTGACGTGCAGGGCTTTTTTCAGGAGATGACTGAAGACTACCCCGAGCTAAAAGACTACCTCGCAGCCGATGCTAATATCGCCCATTCGCCTCTCTTTGAGTCAGCAGTCGTGACGATTTTGGACGGCAAGAAAAATAGTCTGACGCTTGAAGAACGAGCGCCGGCAAAGCGCTTCGTTGTGCATCAGCCACAACAGGAGCAATCAGGATCAACCAAGCGCGCCAACTACGCCGACAGCCTCCGCGCAAGGAAGCGACAGCGCCTGGAGCAATCTGATGAGTACGTTGATCTGCGGTTCATTGTAGGGACGTCTGCGTCAGCGGAGCGGCTGTTCAGCAGCGCAAAACACGTTCTTCGTTTCACCAGAAAGCGGCTGACACCCGTCAACTTCGAGAAAATCTTGTTCCTCAAGCATAATCGTTTTCTTTGGAGCGCCACCATGGTAGCTCAGGCGATGAAGGATGCCGGTGGCAGCAGCAGCAAGGCTGGTACGCAGGATTAGTACTGCAATAGTACTGCAAACTCGCCGAGTATTGCAATACTTACTGGAGACAAGGGGGGTAGCTGCCGTAGATATTGTTTGCGCTTAATGTTTTTACAATGCCCCGCAGTGTATTTTTGGCCATCAGGCGACAAGAAATAGTATTTGAATCACATTGTAACCACCAAATTCGTTTGGAGTCCAAATTGTAAAATATCATTCGTTTTGTATGACAGCTAATGTTGCTTAGTTTATGTTAATGGAAGGAAATAGTGCTTCTGTCGATAACAGAATTCATCGCTATCCGATCGACGCTGCTGTTGTACCAGAACTGCTTATTGCTATGCGCACTTTCCCCATTCTTCCCTCGGTCTACTTGTGCTGGCTTGCCAATCCGTCGTACTGGCGTTCCTTCACCTTGGGGCATCACTGGACAAGAAGATCACAAATTTTAGTGTTTCAATTTACCGAAGCCAAATATCAGCGGTGATCGATAAGTTAGAAGCATAAAACAATCTTGAGTATTATGAATTGGTAGTAGATATCTGGGTGAAACTTTTTAAATTGTATAGAAGGCGTCGTATCAACTTGATCAAGCAACGAATGCAATTCTATTTCCAATGAATAGGATGAGCCTTCATTGCCTTAAAGAGATTTACCAGAGAACTGATACTGGCTTCGCGGAATAGACTTAAAACACGCTGACGCTGTAGCTTGTAACGCTCAGCTTGGCGTTGGTGCCTTTGAAAGCCTGCGTGCCAGCCCGCAGCACCTGCAAGTACTGATTTCCAGGGATCGTATTGTCGGACGTAAGTTCAGTGAAGAACAGCTTGAGGTCGCCCTTAAAGCTCGTAACCGGCTGCTTAGCGACATACGAGAACGCATTGATGTTCTGGTTGTACCCGGAGTACAAGTCAAAGTCGACGCCGGCAACGTTCACGGTCTTGATAGGCTGACCAGTGGTTGACTTAGGCTTTATTCGCCATAAGTTGCCAGCCACACCGTGAGCTCGTAGTGAGGGTGTCCAGCAGGCGTCCAACTCGTAAACATGTCGTAGGCCACGTTCGAGACCATGTCACTATCGGACGTGTAGTTGAAGTCGAAGCTGGTAGGGATCGTCACGATCGAGGAGATCTGGTAACGCTGAAGGTCGCGTTCAGCGTAAGCAAAAGACTTGTACATGGGGTCGCTGTCACCGGTAATGTTGTAGCTCGTGTGCCAGGCGATAGTCGTGGTTTCACTCCAATCCACACCCGTGCATTGCTTGCCGGCAACGGCCCAGTTGCTGTTTACGATCTTGTACGCTATCACTTCAACTTCGCCGTTCTCTTTGTCGGTACTACCACAGAAGTCCTCCGCGTGGGCAGTCGCTGCAGCAAGAGCGATGGTGGCTGGTAGCAGGAACTTCATCGCTGTAATGATCGAACTTGGGGTTAAGAGGGTGGATTGCCGAATGAATCTGGACATGGCAAAGAACCAATCTCACCCAGTGCCAAGTCCCATCCTAAAAGGCTTCATCCGGACGTTTTGCTGCTGATGTCGCAGTTTGGAATCGCCAAATCTGGGTTGTCGAATTACAGTATCGCTTTTACTTCGCGATCAGTCGCAGTGACAATTCAAGCAAAGAACTGCATCTGCAAGTAATCTACCTCGACTCGGACGTACATGTATCAGATATTATACTTATCACTACCTCGAAGTATTTGTGTTTGGCTCGCAGTAGAGCTCGAAAGATTGATCTGCATGCCTAATCCATGTTGTTATCACGTGATGGCGTGCAAAAGAATCTCTTGAAAGGATTATTCTGCTTCGGGTGTACCTACTATTAATATCTACGACAACACGACCAATGATTCGAAAGCCGATTAACTTGATCGGCTTTCGAGGTGTTTTCCCGTGGACGTAAGGGTGTGGATCCATACGATGCCCAATGTGCTACAGTAGGAGTTGGGTGTACTACAGCCACGAACGCGGTTTGAGAAAGCTCTGTACTGTAGCTAACACAGTGCATATTAACCTTTGTGTTACAAAGTACAACAATAATAACAGTCAACACCTGTAAAGCTGTTCCAGTTCATTGCCGACCAAATTCCAAGCAATTCTTGATACACAAATCTTACGACCAGTAGGCAGAACACGTAGGCAAAACGGGATCTGCTGTAGTCAGTATGTATGGGTTTATGATACGGACGCTACGATGTCGACCAGTAAAAATGATCGATTATTCTGCTCGACCTCGGTTTTCTGTGCGGAAACCCAGTCCATATGAATTTATCTCACAAACACATAATAACATTATTACAATTTTTGTTTTCTGAAATCAATTTAACAGGTCAAGCGTAGATGTGGTGCAATTTTGGCCGCACGAAGAATATCGCAACAGCGAATCCTCTTAGGTCAGAATGTTGCATACCTAGGCATTGCATTAGTGAGGCAGAAAGCAAGAAAATCAGGAAAACCAAGCCAGCGCTAGGTGTACCAACAAATGAGTCCTTTTTAAAAAATTACAGTAGAATCTGTCCTACCTGATATGACCCGTGGAGAACTCCTCTATTAGGTATAGCAGCATATCATGTTACTCAGGTCGTCTTCAGTAAACAGGCCATTGCTAGAGTAAGAAGGTATTCTATGCTTCTTTAAGCCGACATGCGGCAAAATAAGTAATAACACGATAGCGTTTTGTTTTCGAGGGAGGACCATTGTGCGAGACTAAAATTTAGTCCGGACAAGCTACAATGTTTGGGATATACGTATTTTAGCTGTCGAAGAATGATACAAACAGTTTCAAGACTGCAGGTTACTGGTTACTGACACAAGACTAATTACAAGCTCTTCCACGGCACTTCGTAGTCGTGGGCTACATATATACACTTGCTGTCCAAATCAGGTTTGTCATTAGAGCAATATTAAATTACTTCGTACCGGTCGTAGTCTCTGGGAGCGACCTGACTTATATATATATATATCATGTACGACAGGATATCAGGTTTTTAAAGGACAGGTTTACTGCAACCAGGTGCCTCTATTATAGTAAGTTTAGAAAACTTTGTTCACAGCTCACCACACGAGCCAGATCAGCAGCAAAAAAATGGCCGTAGCCGCCGCATCGACAGTTTCATGCAACTCCCAGTTTTCGGAACACACGTCACCAGTACGCCAACCGGATGCTGTAGCCCATGACGCCGAGCCATCGCCCCACAAGATCCGTCCGATTCGTCAGCAGGCAGATCGATCGTCGTTTCGTTCTTCGTTGCAGATTGAGGTTGAACAAGCTAACGATGGCGAAGTTATGGATTTCAATGATATCGTGGATCCTGATTTCTCGTCAAGTGATGAATCTGATGCTCAGACTGTGGCTCGGCTTATCATTTCGGTTTAATCTGAATCTCGCCAGTCGTCGGAGGCTGCGTCAGAGCTGCCGGCTACCGATGCTAAGGTACAACGTACTGTCCAGGATCTGCGACTATCGCTGCTGACTACCCAAATGACTGCGTCTCGTAAAAAATCCGATTCCGATGCTGACTCAACCGCGACCGTCGTTTTTGATTCCGATGATAACAGCGACTCAGCTTCTCGTGAAGAGGTAATTGCTCTGTCGTCGGCAGCTCCTTCTCCTGCAGATGGAAAAGTTCAGGTAGCAAGCACCGAAGAGCTGCCTCTAGATGAATTTCCGACACCAGTAACGGTCTCAGGTACCAATCACGAAGATGTCAATACAGATATAGTACCGGTAGGAGAAAGAGTCACGCCACCTGACGCAATGTCTACTTCTTCTCCAGTGAATGGACGTCCGACGGCTCCAGCGTCACGTCGTTCTCCTGGCGGGGTACGGGTCGTGCCACGCTGTCAGACCTCTAACTCGGATCGACAATCGTTGCGACCAATCGTATCGCCTCCTGCGGGTTGTACGCATTTCGCAGCACCTTGCACGCTTCCCGGAGCAGGTAGCTAGGTGAGCTTCGCCCTACATGCTCCTTTTACTCTTCGTGGTGCGACCAAGTTCTGGATCCAAATCCTGAACAATCGACTTCCATTTCCACTGCCGCCGAAAAACACTTGCTGTGTTAAGTTCATCCGAGCTTTCGCGAACTTCCGGGACCCGGATCATCCGTGGCAGATAACTTGTCGTTTGATTCCTTCACACGCTTGTCGCGTTGGAACCGAAGAATTCGATGTCGACTCTCACGTTTCGCAACGAGCTCCTTCACTACGTCGTCTCAAAGGATATTGACGTAAGTTTCGTTTGGATGGCCCCGAAGATGATACTGATCTTGGATTCTCACTCTGGAAACAAAATCACTGGTCTGCAGCTCGCGCGATTGAGCTCGGCTTAAAGGCTGGTAACCGAGCTCTCGTCGAAGACACCACACTCTCGAACAATGCTAAAAGCCTCTTTCAAGCTCGCTTGAGACGACACCAAGGCGGCCTAGGATGAATATGGCATTGGCCGGACCAAGCGTGCTGATCGACTTCGCGTCAAAACCATCAACAACGAGTGGAAATGGTGTGTCAGCGCTGAGCCCCGGTTCGGTGATATCATTCCTGAAATTTTGTTTGAGCTGTCGATACCTGGCTATTCTTTTTTTCGAATATCTGACTTGGATATCTCCGTGTTGAACACATTCCGGCGTTGGACACCGCCGAACCATGGCGTATTGGATGGGTTGACACATCTGCCCTGCACCCGTACAACACGACGCCCATACCATGTAATGTTGGATTTCTGCTGTTGCTGGTGAAACCCGTGAGTCCGTGGACCACCAGATTGAAGTTTTTTTAACCTGCTTCTGCCCAACACTGCAATTTCGCCAAACTGGGATGCGGACTTCGCAGTGCCTCGAGTAGCCACGGATCCTGCTTCTTTGAAGGAGCTGCTTTTAGTGCTGCTGCCGAGAACCCGCCGGTCGTCAAGGATGCGAATTTTACCCAGTTCTTTGCCAGATTGGCTACTAATGCTGAGCCAGGCCATTTGGCTGGCGCTTCAGCGACGTAGCTCGTTCTTCGCGTTTATGTCGGTGTGTTTGTCGATCTCCTAATGTCCCAGCTGTAGCTATGTCGAATATACGAAGGTTGGTCTCACATGTCATTCTTACCGTTTCGTTCCAACGCGTTAATATTCTTGTTTCATATAATATGTAAGTCCAGGATGCAGTAATTGCCTTCGTCTGTAAATCAAATGTGACGGTGCTGGGAGGGAAGACGCTGTATCTAAATCGGTGGCGTCCAGGTTTCCTGGGTCTCCCGAGTACCGGAGGTGGCTCGCTACCGTTGTGAAT